TGCAGAGGAGGTTGCGGACGAAGAAATGTTGTCACTGCCTTCAGGTTGCCGAGCATGAGTATTCTTGGGTTTGTTGAATCATTTTTGATAACGATTTCTGGACTGATTTTGAGAGGTAGCATAGAGAACTGTAGCATTGAGTGAGGACTGATCTTTGTGTAAATCTTGATTTATATGAATCTCTTAACTGCAGAGAAGTGATTAGAGATTGTCGAGATCAGCCGGAAGCCGAGATGTGTGGATCGCAGTTTTGAACGAGTTGTAGGAAGGAGGTAGTCCATTGAGGGTGTAGAGAACTATATCTTCGGGATCAATCTTGACGTCGGCTGCTGCAATATTGTCAACTATGGTCTTGATTTGTGACAAGTATTGTTGCATAGTGAGATTGTTCATTTGGATATGATGGAGATCGTTATTGAGCTGAATCACACGAGAACGGCTTGTGGATTGTAATCGGCGTTCGAGCTCCGTCCAGACCTCTTGCGAGGTCGTTGCAGTGATGACATACGGAAGAAGAGGAGGCGATATTGTGGAGAAAAGTGCAGAGATGAGATGGCTGTCAATAAGATGCCATCGAGCAGATTCAGCGGAGGAGGAGTCGGCCGGAGGAAGGCATTTTCCGGTAAGATGATCGGAGTAGCCATTAGCGGAGAAGTTTTGAGAGACTTGAAGACGCCAGATAGCATAATTTTCGGGAGAAAGAGGATGGGGAATTAGATTCTTGATATTAGAGATCAAGAATTTGAGGGATACCGGAATAGAAAGATTGTTTGGCAAGCTGGTGGTGTTGGTGGAGTTGGGAGGGAGGGAAGAAGATGCTTCTTGATCTCCCATAACCGCTCTGATACCATGTGAAGAAGGTTAGAAGTGAAGAACAGAGCCGCTGGAGGCGGAGCGAAGCAGAGGGAAGAAGACCAAAACAATAGAGAAAAGTATAAAACTGTATATCTGAAGATGGTTACAGAGTACATATTGTGATGCCCCAGAATCAAATAGTGAAAGGATTC